CGATCGGGTTTCCGGTACGGATCGGGTAGTGACAAACCCATGTGTTCTGGGAATCCATCCTACCTCAAAAAACATCCTACCCAATGTTTCTGCGCAGACGCGGCGCATGCGCACAACACCAAACGCACATTAAGTGTAGCTTGCCATCACCATTGTGTGAATGTCTGTGTGAATGGGTGGATGACTGGTTGTGTAAAGCGCTTTGGGGTCCTTAGGGACTAGTAAAGCGCTATACAAATACAGGCCATTTACCATTTATTTACCATTAACTTCTTTTTCTCTCACCCATTCGGAATACTTCTTCAGGTTATGTTATGGTTAGGTTAGGGGTAGGCTCAAATTATAATACGGGTAGGACGATTTGTCAGAGTAGGATGGTTTCTCAAAACCCCGGGAGAGCAGGTACTAAAAAGTACTTGCTACCAAGTAATATGATCTAATGGAAAACCCTGAAAACCGTGCTGAGGCAATCTGACTAGGTATTAGTTAAAAAAGGGCTTAACTCCGAGCTGTGGCACTGTAGCGTCTTAGTATTTTCCACCATCATTATTGCGTTACACCTAGGGCTGCCACAAACGATTATTTTGATAGTCGACTAGTCACCGATTATTTTTGCAATTAGTCGACTAATCAGATTATGCATCCACTGGACATAAAGCGTACAGCTTATTGCACCAGCATGCATCTGCTCTTATATAACTATCATTAGCTTACAGCTTTAAGTGTCTAAGGTATGTGCTAACTAAAAATAAAGACAAGATGATAGTTTATTAAACTTTTAATGGAATTTGCAGATCGTCTCAGTGGTGTTTAATAAACTCAGCCGTCTGCTCCTTGCTCACTAAAATATAATAGGACACTGGAATAAATTCTCACATTTGTTTAATCAGTTTTCTGTTTGACGTTTATTCAGCTGTGTGAAAACTGTAACTTTAATCTCAGCCAAACTGATTTACTCAGGAACAAATAAAACACTGAAAAAAGCCAAACAGTAACATTTTTGTTATCTAAGTGACTTATATATCATGTTTAACCTGAGTAGTGAAAGACCACAGGGGGTTTGCGGTTCTCACCAGCTCTGGTGAGCCTTGAGTCCCCTGGCTAGCTATCGAGCTGGTGGGTAATGGACGTCTCCGAAAACGTCGGAGCACTTATGCAAAAATGTGATGTCTTGATAAACCGAGCAGATATTTGAAGGGTACACAGCTACATTCTTGCTTGAAAATATGCTAAAAGTTTAGTAATATTAAAACTAAATAGCTGCTGCCATTGTTGGAAATTGGAAATGGCTGGGCCGTGCTACGTGTCTACGAATTTGGACAGCCTTCGTTGCGTCGCAATAGTGTAATGAGGCTACAAATGCAGCCACCGAAAGATGCGGCTCCTGAATTTGTACATGGCTACAATACCGGAGCCGCCACCTCCTCCTCCTCCTCCTTCTTCTTCTTCTTCTTCTTCTTCTGCTTCTGCTTCTGCGTTTAATGGTAGCTGCCATCCTTGTACATGCATTGCTCCAACCTTCTGTTTCAGGCCGTTCTTAAACTCTGAAATCCTACTACTTATTCATGCATCTTTCAGGATCTTACAAAGCTTCAAACAACGCGTCGGCTATTAAATTAGTCGATGTAATCGTGACTAGTCGACTAATCGTGGCAGCCCTAAATACACCCCAGTGCTGTCTGCAGTGTCATCATAGGTCATCTGTGCAGTCGTCCACCTTCTGCCCTATTTGGTGATACATGATGGTCTTGGTTTGAGCAGTTTCAATCAGTCTCTGGATCAACCTTCTCAGGGAGGGAACGCAGCAGCATTCGCAAACAGTCAGCAAGGCCATTGCAACTGCTTACTTGTATGTTAGATGGAAGTACATGACCATCAGCTTCCTTTGGGATAACTGTGTGAGTAACGGCACTGTCACAAAGAACAGTTATTGGCTTACCTGTAGCCAGCAAGGATACTTGGGGCAGTTTTTCAGCTGAATTTAAGGAAATCACTACATTTTCAAAGACAACACTTCTGATTTCCTCCCATCTAGTCTCCCTTCCCACTTATCTTGGTGGTTATCATCCCTCTTGCGTTGATGTGCATGGCATAATAATTTGACACTGTTTCAACTACAATTTCCAGAAGATGGACTACAAAATGCACATCTTACTTCATGTTTTTACTGCATTGTTACAGCTGGTCTCAGAAACAATGGTGTGAAATGAAAAAACACATTAACTTTGTGCTGTTCAGCGGTGTAATTTTAAGAATGTGTATTTATCAATGTTAAAAAGGGTTCGAGTTTCACAAATGAATGTGTGTTTTGATGTTTGATCTGTACAACAATAAATGGCCTGTATTTATATAGCGCTTTACTAGTCCCTAAGGACCCCAGTCATCCACCCATTCACACACTGGCGATGGCAAGCTACATTGTAGCCACAGCCACCCTGGGGCGCACTGACAGAGGCGAGGCTGCCGGACACTGGCGCCACTGGGCCCTCTGACCACCACCAGTAGGCAACGGGTGAAGTGTCTTGCCCAAGGACACAACGACCGAGACTGTCCAAGCCAGGGCTCGAACCGGCAACCTTCCGATTACAAGGCGAACTCCCAACTCTTGAGCCACGATCGCCCCAGTGTTAGTTGTGGGTTAAATGTTGTTTCATTTGATCGATTCATGTGATAGGAACAGAGGAAGGTGAATGCCACCAGCACTTGTCATGTAGAATTTAACATTTTGATGTTTCTGTTGTTTCCTCCAGCTATGAGAGAGTTGTGATGACATCAGCGCCCACAAAGGAAAAGCCTTCACAAGTCCCAGCTCCAGCTACCTTTGGCGCCAGTCATTCTCTTAATGGAGCAAACAGGCAAGTCCTTCCATGTCAAGAAATTCCATATGTTTTAATGAATACATATTCATGTATATGTACACTACCAGTTTAAAGTTTGGACACACCTTCTCATTTAATGTTTTTTTTTTTTCTTTATTTTTATGACTCTTTACATTGTAGATTCTCACTGAAAGCATCAAAACTATGAATGAACACATTTGAAGTTATGTAATAATTGAAAAAGTGTGAAATAACTTAAAACATGGTTTATATTTTAGATTCTTCAAAATAGGCACCTTTGCTTCTTCAGGTTGTTACTTGAAATGGTTTTCCAGCAGCCTTGAAGGAGTTCTTAGAGATGCTGAGCACTTGTTGGCCCTTTTGCCTTCAGTCTGCGGTCCATCTCATCCCAAACCATTTTGATTGGGTTTAGGTCAGGTGACTGTGGAGGCCAGGGCATCTGGCGCAGCACTCCATCACTCTCCTTCTTGGTTAAATAGCCCTTGCACAGCCTGGAGGTGTGTTTGTCCTTTTGAAAAATAAATGGTAGTCTAACTAAACACAAACCGGATGGGATGGCATGTCACTGTAGGATGCTGTGGTAACCAAGCTGGTTCGGTGTGCCTTCAATTTTGAATAAGTCCCCAATAGTGTCACCAGCAAAGCACCCCCACACCGTCACACCACCTCCTCCATGCTCCACATTGGGAACCATGCATGTAGAGACCATTCGTTCCCCTTTTCTGCATCACACAAAGACACGGCAGGTGGAACCAAAGATCTCAAATTTGGACTAATCAGACCAAAACACAGATTTACACTGGTCTAATGTCCATTCCTTGTGTTTCTTGGCCCAAACAAATCTCTTCTGTTTGTTGCTTTTCCTTAGTGGTAGTTTCTTAGCAGCTATTTGACCATAAAGGCCTGATTCACACTGTGTCATCTGAACTGTTGATGTAGAGACGTGTCTGTTACAGGATCTCTGTGTGGCATTTTCCTGGGGTGTAGTTAACTTGTGATTTATGAGGCTCGTGACTCGGATGAATTTATCCTCAGCAGCAGAGGTGACTCTTCCTTTCCTGGGGCGGTCCTCATGCGAGCCAGTTTTCTCGTTGCGCTTGATGGTCTTTGTGACTGCACCTGGGAACACATTCAAAGTTTTTGCAGTTTTCTGGACTGACTGACCTTCTGTTCTTAAAGTAATGATAGACTGTTGTTTCTCTTTACTTAGCTGATAGCTTTTGCCATAATATGAATTCTAACAGTGGTCAAATAGGGCTGTCAGCTGTGTACCAACTTGATTTCTGCACAACACAACTGGTAGTCCCAACCACATTTAGAAAGCAAGAAATTCCACAAATGAACCCTGGCAGGCACACCTGTGAAGTGAAAACCATTTCAGGTGACTATATCATGAAGCTCATTAAGAGAAGGCCAAGGATTTGCAGCGCTGTCTACAAAGCAAAGGGTGGCTACTTTCAGGAATGTAAAATATAAGATATATTTGGGATTATTTATCAATTTTTACTTTGCTACACAATTACATACATCTTGCTTCATATATTTGATGTCTTCAGTATGTAGGTGAAGGAAAGATGTGAAAGGGAATTTATAATCACTTACAATGAGAACGTCGTTGTGTACTCCAGACTCTGTGATTATGTCAGAGCTTCCCAAAGTGTGGGGCCCGCCCCCCCCTATGAAAAGGGGAAAAAAATGCTTGGAAACTGCTAGCACGGGGCACCCACACAAGCGCAAAGCAGGAGATGAAGCATCGCTGCATATGTTTCCAAACCAACTTCATTCTAAGACACATGGTGTGAAATGAAAAACACATTATTAACTTTGTGCTGTTCAGCGGTGTAATTTTAAAAATGTGTATTTATCAATGTTAAAAAGGGTTCAAGCTTCACAAATGAATGTGTTTTGATGTTTGATCTGTACAACAGTGTTAGTTGTGGGTTAAATGTTGTTTCATTTGATCGATTCATATGATAGGAACAGTCAGAGAGGAAGGTTAATGCCGCCAGCAGTTGTCATGTAGAATTTAACATTTTGATGTTTCTGTTGTTTCCTCCAGCTATGAGAGAGTTGTGACGACATCGGCGCCCACAAAGGAAAAGCCTTCACAAGTCCCAGCTCCAGCTACCACTGATACACCTCGTTCTTTCAACAGGCAAGTCCTTCCATGTCTAAATTTATAAATGTTTTGCATATATTCAGGCTGCTAGTTTGGTTTTATGATAAATGTAATGCTGCATTTTGTTGCCACTGGCTCAGAACTAACAAACTTTGATACAGTCAGTTTGGACTTTTTCTTCCAGCGTCTGTACACACAACCAATGGCATGAAATGAAACATATTTATATTTGTGCCGTTCATTGTTGTAGGTTTAAAATAAACCATCTGTTGATATGCTCCTCATCGTTAATGCCACCAGCACTTGTCATGTAGAATTTAACATTTTGATGTTTCTGTTGTTTCCTCCAGCTATGAGAGAGTTGTGATGACATCATTGGCTACAAAGGAAAAACCGTTACAAGTCATAGGTCCAGCTGCCTTTGGCGCCACTTTGAGTGGAGCAAACAGGTAAGTCTTTCCTTGTCCAAATTTGTATGTTTTTGTATATAGTCATGTATACATTTTAAAGATTAAATTCCATGGCTAGTATCTGTTTTTGGATCAGTTGAGCCCAACAGAAAACAGAACCATGCGCAAACACAAAATTAGTATTTATAAGAACCATTAGTCTCACGCGTTGGTATAACTCTGAATTAGAGCAGGGCGATATGGCCAAAAATATTTATCACGATATATATTTGAAAATTTGCGATAACGATATAACTGACGATATAATTGATGCGAGACAAAATACAACTCCACAACATTACTAGCGCAAAAAGACAACCTTCCATTTATTTTCACTTAAACAAGAAGCTGGTTTTTATGTACATTAAAGCTTTATAAAAATGTAACAGTGCAAATGCAAATTCCTTGCTGAAAGTTTAACCAAAAGGCATTTCCAGTAGAAATGGGCTGACATATCCTGAGCATAACCATGTATAATATCCACTGAAGTTAAAAAGAGGTGCTTTGCAACATTAAACTGCAGTGTGCAGTACGTATTTTTCGGACCATAAGGTGCACGGGATTATAAGGCACATTAAGCGAAACAAAGCAGTCAGATAAATCAAACTTTATTAAACTCATTCTTCTTGCTTCCTCCACTTCTGTACCATTGATTCTTACTTTCAAAACTATTAATAAATTAGCGCCAAGTTATCTTAGTGAACTTCTCAAACCACATACTCCTGCTAGAACACTCAGATCTGCCACTCAACTACTTCTGACCCAACCCAGATCTCGACTGAAGTCTCGGGGTGACCGTGCGTTTGCTCTGGCTGCCCCGGTACTGTGGAACACCCTTCCTCTCGACCTCCGCGCATCTGATTCCATTGCACTGTTCAAATCACGATTAAAAACCCACTTATTCAATCTTGCCTTTCCCTCTAGTTAATATTTCTTTTATGATTTTATATCACGCACTTTTATGCTCATTTAAATTCTTGTTTGCTCTGTACCTGTTGCTTTCCTATGTATTAGTGACAGTTATCTGCTTCCATATTTAGTACTTGCTTTGGTCCTATTTCTATTATCCTCCTCATATACTCTATTTTACTTGTTAAGCACCTTGGCATACCCTTGGTTTTTAAGTGTGCTTTATAAATAAAGTTTATTATTATTATTATTATTCATTAATGTTGAATTCTCTGGCAGCTGCTCTATTCCCATGTTGTTGCAGTATATTAATGACTAACCTCGTATTGTGGATGGATTATCTCAGTTGTTCTCCTGACTGAAGTTTGGTCCGTTTACAGCATCCTGCCATGCGATTGCATTTGTCTCTAACCATGAGGAACCTTCACGTTAACTTTTATAAGTGGAAAAGTGTTAGTGTTCGTCCTCCAGCTTCACTGTTTATGTTATGCTAACATAGCTGTGTCGCTAGCGATCACGTAGCACATCATTATATACCAGCTAGCCCAACTTCAGTAACCCTACAAACGTCACTGCTGTTTAGTTTCCTGTCTTCATTTATGTTGGAAGTGATAGCAGAGCTGTACGTTTGAATTTTTCAGAAATCTCTCAGTCAGAACATGCTATATCATGCTTAGGTAACTAGCGAAACTAGCGAGCTAACTTCCGCTAGCTTCCTGCTAACTTCTAACTCCGTTAAATGTAATAAATTTTGTTTTCATGGATGCCTGGAAGTTAAACTTCATAGTTACACCTGGTAAAGCAGCAATGCTGATCGTTTTATTAAAGATGAAAGAATTTAGACAGTTTTTAACTCTCAGTGATGCTGCAGTGTTCGTTTGACCTGAAGAGGGGTTTAGGACCCAGATTACTCCCAGATTTAAGAGCATCTTAGTCTCGACAAATACGACAATAACGACGGCCGCTTGCATGTTCTGCAAAAAAAATGTGCTTTGTCGTGTATCTGACGGACAAACACCAAACCAGTTCCACATCACTGAAGTTGCACCATTTTTACAAACCAATTCTGGTTCATCTGTTTCACTCAACAATCGGCCATGTGCGTATGAAAACAAAGGCACTGCGCATGCGCGTTTTACTCATATTCTATCGCGATATTTCATTTTCCTATCATTGTCTAACATTATACCGGTATTACCGTGAACGGTATAATATGGCCCAGCCCTACTCTGAATATCTCGATGGCTTATTGTTTTTCAGATTTCCGTATCCAAGATTGCCAAACGGAGTGGGGATGCGTCCAGTGACTAACCTTCAACCACCTGACCCCAGAATTCTCAAAATGGTTGTATTTGTACCTCCACGAGCAACATCAGTGTTAACACAAGTCAGGAGAAGTAAGTATTAAATTATTTTTAATTTTATTGTAGCCTATTAAATTACCATTATTCCCACAGAATTATGTAAAAACTATTAGATGGCACAATAAATTAATATTTGATGGCACTAACTTACACATGGCTGGGCATTATTTTATCCATAAATTACTACAATTGACTGTTGCAACTGCTCTCTACTTTGTGATTTAAACTAAAGAAAGGTAAATAATACAACAACTGTCAAATGGGTCCATCAGCTGTGAAGTGGAACTGAGACCTTTTCACCAGTTTTAATAAAAATAAATGCTGTTCTTGGATAATTTGTAATTTGAAAATCTTTCCAAAAATAGAAATGTGTCCTTTTATTTTCAAAATAATATTAAAACTGTAGACACACACTCATCCGTTATCCACATCTGTGTTCAATGCAGATGCCCAAGATGCTCCACCTCAGTTAAATGCTGGTCTGAAACAGCGGGTCATAGATCATCTCCAGCTAAAGAAAAAACAGGAAGAAGGGCCCACAAAGATGGAGCTGGAGGAGCGTTGTATAAAGATGGAGCTGGAGGAGCGTCATATAGAGGAGGAGCAGGAGGAGTGTTGTATAAAGATGGAGCTGGAAGAGCATCGTATAAAGATCGAGGTGGAGGAGCGTCGTATAGAGACGGAGCTGGAGGAGCGTCGTATAATAAATCAGCAGGAGCGCAATGAAAAGGAGGAGCAGGAAGAATGCCACTTAAAAGACGAACACAAAGAACGCCCAATAAAGGAGGAGCAGGAGGAACATCACATAAATAGCGAAGAGGTTGAAGTGAATCTTAATGGGATAAAGGAGGCTGATATCACCGGGTTCCTGCTCACTTCTGTTCATGTGAAGAGTGAAAATGATGAAAAGAAACCGCAGTCCCCACAACCTCATCAAGGCCCGCCTCTCAAAAACATGGAAGCGCAGACACAAACCAGAGGATCAGGTAAACAAATGAAAACAGAAACTGAGGACGATGAAGGAAGCAAAAAGGCTAGGAACTCTTATCACAGTAGCTGTTTACCACAGAATACTAATTTACAGGCTTCAGACTTCACCGAGACTAAAGATGGTACTGTGGATGGTGATAATTATTGGCAGGAGCCATTGTCTGCTTCTGAACCTGAAACTGAAGATGGCAAGAGTAAAAATTCTAACCTGCATCAGTCTCTGTCAGAATCTGGATCTGAAACTGAAGACAGCAGCATTGATAATTATAACTTGCACGGATCTTCATCAGAATTTGGATCTGAAACTGAAGACAGCAGCATTGATAATTATAACTTGCACGGATCTTCATCAGAATTTGGCTCTGAAACTGAAGACAGCAGCATTGATAATTATAACTTGCACGAATCTTCATCAGAATCTGGATCTGAAACGGAAAGCAGCAGCAGCATTGATAATTATACCTTGCATGGACCTTCATCAAAATCTGAATCTGAAACGGAAAGTAGTAGCAGCAGCAGCAGAAGCACCAGCACCAGCAGCAGCAGCGTTGATAATTATAATTTGCACAGATCTTCATCAGAATCTGGATCTGAAACTGAAGGCAGCACCAATGAAGATGATAGTAAATGGCGGAAACCGTTGTTAAACTCTGAACCTAAACTTGTAAACAGTGGTGCAAATGGAAAAAAGCGATTTCACACACCAGAGAAACCATTTCGTTGTAAAATTAGACGTAAAACAAGTAAAATATTTTAATAAACTAAAACAGATTACTTAAGACTCATAGGACAGGACAAACAGTTTGCAGCTTTTATAAAAAAAAAAAAAAGATGATAATAATAATAATAAGGTTAAAGTGTCAGACGTAGGGGTTCACATGGGGCCGAGAGAGAGACCATTTAGTTGTAGCGTCGGCAGACAAAGCCACATGACTGATGGCATGACATGATTAATTATACATTTTTAGTGTTATGGTCATTGGTGTTTCTGATGGCTTTCTAGCATGCACGGCAGAGTAGGAAATTTGAACAAGGGGTTATCTTATCACATTCATGTTTCTAAATTGCTGAATAGTTAGTTGATCAGTACAAGGGAATAATTCCAGATGATGCTGTGTACATGGTCTTTTGGTAATTATTAGTGGCAGTAATCTGATTTAAACCATTTTTGTTGATGATGGCTAAGGTAACATCAATAAAGCACACTGAGAAACTGCCTCCATGCTTTTTCTTTACTGGAGCCTATCCCAGATGTTACAAATCAAGAGAAGTGGGTACATTTTGAATTGGCCTTTAAGGTGGAAATCATTAAACTGTGATTTGACCAAGTTTTTGTAGCTTATCTCCAACCTTCCCTTTGTGAAGAAGAAAAAGAAAAAACATATTTAAAAGATTAGTTGTAAAACAGCTAACTGATCAGCTGCAAAGGAATGGTTTATTTGAGTTTCAGTCAGGTTTCAGAGCTCATCACACTACAGAAAACAGGTGTACTTGGAGAGTCCTGATGTGTTCAGTTTTTTCAGAAGAAAGTACAGGAGAAATGTCTGTCGTTTAAAAAGATTTAATTTCAACTGCCGACCCTGGATCGGGCCATACAATTTTATACCCCAATAATAAGTGTTATTATGACATACTTCTTACAGAAGTGACGTGGCAGTCCTGCTGTCTCCCTACGAGTCTTCTCTCTGTTCATGTCCAACCTTGCCTCATATTGCTCCTCTTCCTGGGATAACAAAGACAGAAAAAAGAAACCACCTCCCTGCTTAACCTTGATTATTAATATTATCCTACTGATTCCATTTAATATCTAAGTTTGAGACATTCTATTAAGACTCCCTTGGCCCAGAAAATATCATCTTGACTGTTAACCGGTGTGATGTGTATGTATGTTGCAAAGAAAAGTCACTCTACGTCAATCGCAATATTTGAATTCAGTCATGGTGCTGAATGAAGCTTCTGACCTTCAAAACATGGAGCACCAACACTTTAATGAGCACATCGCAGTGTGTTTATATGAAATCATAAAACCAGCTTTATTTAATCATTTTAATCCTAACAGTCCTCTAATTAAGGTTAATTATGGAATTCCACAGGGTTCAGTGCTAGGACAGATTCTGTTTACATTATACATGCTTAAGCTAGGTAGTAACATTAGAAGGCAAAGCATACATTTTCACTGCTACACAGATGACACGCAACTTTATCTATCCATGAAGCCAGATAACACACACCAACACTGCTTTCTTCCGTTTGTGCAACATCTCTAAAATTAGAAACATACAGTCTCAGACTGATGCTGAAGTAGCTAAGCCATTTATTCTAGGCTCGACTAGTGTAATTTGTTATCATTAGGATGTCCTAAAACTCCCTGAAAAGCCTTCAGTTGATCCAAAATGTTGCAGCAAGAGTACTGACAGGGACTAGAAAGAGGGAGCATATTGGCTTCCCTTTATTAGTTCCCTGTTAAATCCAGAACTGAATTTATAATCCTGCTTCTCACTTATGTATGTATGTATATATTTTTATTAGGGGTGCAACAATACTCATATCGATATTGAACCATTCGATACAGTGCTTTCGGTTCGGTACGCATATGTATCGAACAATACAAAATTTTTAATTTATTTTATCAACTTTTCTTCTGACGATGCTGTCTGTGTTGAGCACTCAGTGGATCTGCGTTCGACTACTCTGCCTAGGTTGCACTGTCGAGCGCAGATCCACTGAGCGCAGCGCAAGCTAGCAAGACAGAAGCTAAGCTTGTCGCAACATGGCAAATTGAACCTCCTCCACCCTCATTCAGATCTGGCCTTTGGAACTATTTTGGTCTTCTTGTGAAGCATGACCCTGAAGGTAAGCACGTCATGGACAAAAGTAAAACTATGTCGGATGTGCCACGCAATGCTCAATTGGTGGGAACTACTGCGTTAGCGCAGTTTGCTCGTTAACGTGTTGACGCCGTCCAGCCCATGTTGACGCCGTCCATATATATGTATATATGTGTATGTGTATATCTACGTGTGTGTGTGTTTAAATATGTATATAATAACGTGCAATCAAGGCCAGTGGCTACACTACTGCATATTTGAAATTTACAGGAACCATACCACTGGTGTGGCTGTAGCTCAGGAGGTAGAGCAGGTCACCTACCTATCGGAAGGTTTGTGGTTCAATCTTTGGCTTCTCCAGTCTGCATGCCAAGTATCCTTGGGTAAGATACTAACCCTAAGTCGCTCTCTGATGCATCCATTGGAGTATGAATGTAGTTAGGAAACAGTACCAAGCTTGGGTAAAGTGCTTGTGAGATTGGGTGAATGTGGCTTCTTGTATAGAGTGCTTTGAGTACTCCGTGAGAGTAGAAAGGCGCTATATAAGAATCAGTCCATTTACCAGAGAAGAGACTGCCCTATACTGGGATTGTTTGGCTTCAAAGTAAAAATTGTGGCTTTTAAAATGTCATTGCTACAATGTTGAGGCACAACTTTTAATCTGAAAACAAATGTTTTGTTTCCAGTCTGTGATGCACCTTTTGAAGCTGCTCTGAGAGTAACTGGTAAGAGTTTGAAGACAAGTTAACATCTTCCACACAAACTTGTTTGGGAAATGCACATTTCTCCCCTTGTGATTGCCAGATGGTTGCCAACCAATTAAATGCAATAATTAATCATGTAACCAAGCAATAAATGGGTTAATATTCTGCAAGATGCTTACCTCCAGTGTTTACAGTACTATCTACTGTGTGTCATAAGCTTCCATTTTTTGCATTGCAATTCAACATCATCTTCAACCCAAGATCCTGTTTCTGTCCTTCATAACAGTTATATCCAACAATGCCACAGGTTATAAGCATTGTGAAAAATGATGATAATTGATGACATCATGCTTTAAGTAAAAAGCTCAAGAGGAAGAATAAAAAGAATAAATATTTTATTAATCAAGAACTTGGCAAGTTACTGTTAGAGCAACCAAAAAAGAAAGCGATTAAATACAAAATCTAAATACAATAAGGAGTTGAAATTAAATGCAAAATTAAAACCTAAATAACATTAGTTGATATACTCCATACCAGAAAAGCAATCAGTAGTAGATGTGTCCATCTGGTTCTGTGTTATCCAACACCACATAGCTGCTGTTTGACTGTGGTATGCTGATCCAAACTTATTTTGGTGCACACCCACCCACCCACCCACCGAGTTCTGGTTTATACAGAAAAACAAAATGCTCAAGCATAGATTATTATTAAAAATATTATGACTAAACATGGTTATGTACCTTGGATATAGAAAATGTATAAATAAATGCTATCTGGAATTCAAGTAATATATTTCCCAATTACAATATAGCTTGCATCACTTTGAGCACATGGTACCACCCCTACTATAAATGTCACCAGCCATAGTCTCTATTTTTTTCATACAGTACAGGGCATCCTTCAAAGCACCCAATACCATGAACAGACATAATTAATGACCAAACAAACAAAAAAGATCCATCCAACTTATTCATTAGCAGGTAAGTGCATCCACAGAACCTTCAAAGCTGTTACTCCGTGTGGGTTTTCACGTGTCTGTTTAGATTTCCCTTCTGAGTAAACGTTTTACCACAAACACCACAGCTAAATGGCTTCTCTCCAGTGTGGACTCTCATGTGTCTCGTCAGAGTTCCCTGATGGGTGAATCTCTTCCCACATACAGTGCAGCTAAACTGTTTCTCTCCGGTGTGAACTCTGATGTGGATCTTGAGATCGCGCTGATGTACAAAGTTTTTGCCACAGACATCGCAACCATGTGGTTTCTCTCCTGTGTGGCCTCTTGTGTGGGCTTTGAGATGTGATTTCCTGTTAAATCTTTTGCCACAAATATCACAGCCATATGGTTTCTCTCCTGTGTGAACCCTTGTGTGTGCTTTAACAAGTGCCATCCGGTTAAACCTTTTACCACAAATGTCGCAAGCAAACTGTTTTTCTCCTGTGTGAACTCTCATGTGTGCACTTAATTGTGTTTTCCGGTTATATCTTTTACTGCAAAGATCACAACCAAATGGTTTTTCTCTTGTGTGAACTCTCATATGTCTCTTCAGGTCCACCTGTTGAGTAAATCTTTTTGTGCAAACCCCACAACCGAATGGTTTCTCACCTGTGTGAACCCTGATGTGTCTCTTGATATTTTGCTGTTGTGTAAACCTTTCACCACAGATGTCACATACAAACGGTTTCTCTCCTGTGTGAATTCTGATGTGCGCCTTGAAACTATAGAGATGTCGAAAACGCTTTCCACAAAAATCACAATGAAATGGTTTTTCACCAGTGTGAATTCGGATATGTGTCTTAAGATTTTGTTTTTGTGTAAATCGTTTTCCGCAAATACCACAGATAAATTGTCTGTCTTGTCTGGGTGAATCTACATTTCCCAAATGCATGGAGGAAGTTTCCATTAAATGGCTTGTCATGAGCCTCTGAACAGGCCTCTTGCTTTTTGGAGATTTGAGTCCATTAGCACTTGATGTAGGAGCTCCCTGATTATTTTCACCGTCATCGTTTGGAGGTCCAGAATCTGACAAAGGTTCCTGCCACTCACCACCACCATCGTCACTATCATCATCATCATCATCTGAGACGTCAGTCGCAGAAGAGTCTGAAGCCTTCTCATCAGTATTTGGATCTGGGTTCCATGATCCAGGTCCAGGTCCTTCACGGTCCTCTCCATCACTTTCTGTTTTTATCTGTTTAGCTAAGCTGCAAAGTGGAGGCTCTGCCTCTCCCATTTGATTCTGAAGGAGAAGTAAAGAGTTAGGCTTCTCTTCATCGTTTTCAGTCTTCACAGGACCAGCAGTGAGTTGGAGCCTGATGATATCAGCCTTTGTTAGATCATTAAGTGGCTCTCCCACCTCACTGTTACTGAGTTCATCTTGTTCCTCCTTTTTAAAGAGAAGCTCTGGGCCCTTCTGGTCCGGACTGTTGCTCCATTCATGGGAAACCTCTTCTTTGATCACCAACAGCTGTTGGACATCTGCAGAGAACACAAAAACAGACACGGGACAACAGTGACTCCATATTCTTGTGGTCAACAGAAGAATTTGTATACATGGTGATGGTGCACACTGATGCTAACTGCTGTATCATAACGTGCTTGAACAAGAATCTAATGTGAAAATAAATTAACACATTTATTTTAAATCAAGCCTTCCAAATTCAACATATAACTACATGACCTGCAACAAATATGATTATTTCCAGCTGTGAAAGCACTATTAGTGTTTGTCATTAACTTCCAAATGCCAAATACTAAAAGTGCTTTTCCATTCTTAAAAGAGCTTCCAAAGGCAGAAAACACCAAAGCCCTGTACCAGATTTGAGTACTTTCTCTTCTTTGTTTCCCAACAACAGTACAACCCCACAAGATAAAGCAGTACCTGCAGTCAGACACTTTTGTATCAGGACGCATAAGCAAAGAAGCATGTTTCCGCCCGGTTTCAGACCAGGGACTTTTCACATCTTAGGTGAACGTGATAACCACTACACTATGGAAACGGCACATGCTTCTACTGTATTTGTTATTTGTTTATTTCTGGACTGAAGAATATGTTTTCTTTAAAAAAAAAAAATTTAAAGAACTGAAAGGGTTTAGTTCTTTTGACAAGCAGTTAAGTTATCAAAAAATTATGCAATTTCTAAAACTGAAACAAAAGAGCAGTCCATTAAAAAAAAAAAAATCTTTTTTTTCCTCTTTGAATATTTACTTTTTTCCAATAACGAGACCAAATTATTTCTTATTCAATTAGCTCCAGGCCTGGCTATGGTTATTGTGAAAAGATGTGGGTCATTAGGTTGGTGGCAGTGTGAAAGATAAAAATACATATAGCAACATAAAAGTATCTCCAACTGACCAGAGCGTATTTCCAGCAGCTCGCCTCGATAACCAGTAAACTTGTTAGTGACTACTGTCAGCAGAAAACAAAAAGACTAAATCCACATACAAAAAGAAAGTAACTTGAGAGTTTCATGTGCTGTTTAGTAAAATTATATTCTTTCTCTCAACTTCAAGTCACCTAATCCGTAACAAAAAGGGAAATAATTTAATTACCATAAAAATGTCAAAAACCTGAACCTAAGACTTTCATTTTTTTGATTCTGTATTCTTTGTAAACAACAACAACAACAAAGACAACTGTAGCTATGTTGCTTGAAAAAATACATCTTTATTTTTATCACCACAGACATCTTACACACTAAGAACTATTAACTTACAATGTACAGGTTTAATTAAAAGAAAACAAGAAATCCATCAAAGAAGTTAAACATGACAAGGCATGGCCCAGGCTGCTAGCTGCATTGACTTTTTGACAAGATAACTAATCAAAAACAGATCTGGACGGGATGAGCTAGGCAATGACCGGAGCCAAACCAGATCCAGGTGTGATCCAGTCTGAATCCCCGATCCATTTTGGATCCATCCTGCCATAAAAACATAGTTTGACTGGGAAATGATCTGCTGATCTAGTTCTGGTTCTGGGTCAACAGTCTTGGTGGGTCCGACTCTGAATTTCAGATAATGAAACTTTAAACTGGTATTTTACGTCAATTAATGACTGAATTCCAACCTGTGGACACACTTCAATATGAAATGCAATTAGATTACAATCAGACTGTTTGCAGCTGGATTTTAAAAGTCACTTTAACAACACATTTTGTTCAGTTTTACAGTTTTAAGTCATTTCAGTCTCATGTTCACTGAGATTTTCTCCAAGATCTAGCTGTGACAGATATCTTTCCAACAGTATGATTGATTACAACACAGTAAACATCAGTGAGGACCTCACCTGGACACTGAACACCACACAGCTGGTCAAGAAGGCTCAGCAGCGGCTGTATTTCCTGAGGAGGCTGAGGAAATTTAATTTGTTGGCCAAGATCCTCAGCAGCTTCTACAGCTGCACTGTGGAGAGCACACTATCCAGCTGCATCACTGCATGGTACGGCAGCAGTACTGCTATGGACTGCAAATGCCTGCAGAGAGTGATAACAACTGCAGAGAAGATCGCCCTCTCTGCAGAGCATCTACCATCACAGAGTCCAGAGGAGAGCTGCCTCCATCCTCAAAGACCCCACACAGCCTCAACACGGACTGTTCACACTTCTGCGCTCAATACCAAGGTTTAGAAGTGTGAAATCCAGAACATCCCGATTCAACAACTCCTTCTCCTATCAGATTCCTGAACATCTGACCTACCTCAACTGCAATTTGCACATCAGGACACTTTGCACGCTAAGTTCATTTTGCACATTAAGCTCCTTTGTACATCCATTTACATTGACATCTGCATACCTTACTTGTCTTCACTTTTTTTTTTTTTTTGTACTTATTTATCTTTCACTATTTTTTATCCTTATTTTTTTTATGTTATTTATCTTAATATCTTGTCTTATTTGTATCCTTATTTATCTTGCTCCTTCAACCCTACCTAACTTGGCATTGGTGTGTGGACAGCAAAGGAAGAATTTCATTGCACAGAGAAATGCTATTTCTTCTGTACACATGACAACACTTTGAAACTTTATACAGGTGATTTTGATGTAAACAGTGATTCTATAGTAATGTACACTGTTTCCAGTCTAATTTAACTAACTGGCTGACAGTCTGATACCTGCATTAATATTCAAAGACTCTCACAGTTAGAAAGATGGATTTACAGTGGCTTGCAAAAGTATTCGCCCCCCTTGAACTTTCCCACATTTTGTCACATTACAGCCACAAACATGAATCAATTTTATTGGAATTCCACGTGAAAGACCAACACAAAGTGGTGTACACGTGAGAAGTGGAATGAAAATCATACATGATTCCAAACATTTTTTACAAATAAATAACTGCAAAGTGGGGTGTGCGTAATTATTCAGCCCCCTTTGGTCTGAGTGCAGTCAGTTGCCCATAGACGTTGCCTGATGAGTGCTAATGACTAAATAGAGTGCACCTGTGTGTAATCTAATGTCAGTACAAATACAGCTGCTCTGTGACGGCTCTGTGACGGAATATTGGGAGCAACAACACCATGAAATCCAAAGAACACACCAGACAGGTCAGGGATAAAGTTATTGAGAAATTTAGGCTTAGGCTACAAAAAGATTTTCCAAGCCTTGAACATCCCATGGAGCACTGTTCAAGCGATCACTCAGAAATTGAAGGAGTATGGCACAACTGTAAACCTACCAAGACAAGGCCATCCATCTAAACTCAAAGGCCGAACAAGGAGAGTGCTGATCAGAAATGCAGCCAAGAGGCCCATGGTGACTCTGGACGAGCTGCAGAGATCTACAGCTCAGGTGGGGGAATCTGTCCATAGGACAACTATTAGTCGTGCACTGCACAAAGCTGGCCTTTATGGAAGAGTGGCAAAAAGAAAGCCATTGTTAACAGAAAACCATAAGAAGTCCCGTTTGCAGTTTGCCACAAGCCATGTGGGGGACACAGCAAACATGTGGAAGAAGGTGCTCTGGTCAGATGAGACCAAAATGGAACTTTTTGGCCAAAATGCAAAACGCTATGTGTGGCGGAAAACTAACACTGCACATCACTCTGAACACACCATCCCCACTGTCAAATATGGTGGTGGCAGCATCATGCTCTGGGGGTGCTTCTCTTCAGCAGGGACAGGGAAGCTGGTCAGAGTTGATGGGAAGATGGATGGAGCCAAATACAGGGCAATCTTGGAAGAAAACCTCTTGGAGTCTGCAAAAGACTTGAGACTGGGGCGGAGGTTCACCTTCCAGCAGGACAACGACCCTAAACATAAAGCCAGGGCAACAATGGAATGGTTTAAAACAAAACATATCCATGTGTTAGAATGGCCCAGTCAAAGTCCAGATCTAAATCCAATCGAGAATCTGTGGCAAGATCTGAAAACTGCTGTTCACAAACGCTGTCCATCTAATCCAGCAGTCCCCAACCCCGGGCCGTGAGTCGTTTGGTACCGGGCCGCGAGAGTTGAGGCTCAGGTGTGAAATGTATGGTTTTCAGGGTTTTTATCGGTTTTCAGCGTTATTTTGTTATCGTTTTTATCGTTAACTCTGTTTTCCTGGGTCTTTTCACGTGTGTTATGAATAAATCTTTTTTTCGGTACCGGTACTAGTTTTATTTTGTTGTATTTATCCGCGACACCTTAAAGGCCGGTCCGTGAAAATATTGTCGGGCATAAACCGGTCCGTGGCGCAAAAAAGGTTGGAGACCGCTGATCTAATCTGACTGAGCTGGAGTTGTTTTGCAAAGAAGAGCTATACTTGCAGCAAAAGGTGGTTCTACAAAGTATTGACTCAGGGGGCTGAATAATTACGCACACCCCACTTTTCAGTTATTTATTTGTAAAAAATGTTTGGAATCATGTATGATTTTCGTTCCGCGTCTCACGTGTACACCACTTTGTGTTGGTCTTTCACGTGGAATTCCAATGAAATTGATTCATGTTTGTGGCTGTAATGTGACAAAACGTGGGGAAGTTCAAGGGGGGCGAATACTTTTGCAAGCCACTATAATTCTTAGCTGATAATAAATAAGTGAGATATTCACTTTCTTCACTCATACAAATTGACCACTGAAAAATTAAAAAGCCATCATGGTAAATAAAAAGATAGTGAATTGACACCTAATCAGCATTTTAGTGTTTATAAAATATAAACTTGTCTAAATTCATTTGCTCCACCAAGTGGTTTGATAGCAACTTTTGGAATAAAGAAATGAGTCAGTTTGTTAAAGAAAACTTGTCAGTGAGTAGGTTTAGTGTACAGAGTCTCACTCAGTTTAAGTTAACTTTCTTTGTGAATCAGAAATCCTCAAGTTTATCTCATCTCAGGTTTAACGAACACAGATTGGTTGGTTAAAACTGTTTCAAATAGCACTAAGACCCAGTACAATTTCTACTGTGTGTGGCTTCTCATGTGCCTATTTAGACTTCCCTGTTGAGTAAAAGTTTTCCCACACACATTACAACCAAATGGTTTCTCTCCAGTGTGCACCCTCATGTGTCTCTTGAGGCTTCCCTGCTGAGTAAATCGCTTTTCACATGCAGGACAGCTGAACTGTTTCTCTCCAGTGTGGACTCTGATGTGTATTTTGAGGTCATGTTGATGCACAAACTTTTTCCCACATGCACCACAGCTGAATGGTTTCTCTCCTGTGTGCACCCTCATGTGCCTCTTCAGAACCCCCTGCTGTGTAAACATTTTATTACACAGATTGCAGCCAAATGGTTTCTCTCTCGTGTGAACTCTCATATGTCTCTTCAGAACACCCTGCTGTGTAAATTGTTTTGCGCAGACAACACAGCTGAATGGTTTCTCTCCTGTGTGAATCCTCATGTGGCGTTTGAGATTTTGCTTTTTTCTAAATTTTTCACCACAAATGCCACAAACAAACGGTTTTTCCCCAGTATGGATTCTGATGTGTACTTTAAAACTATAGTGATGTCTAAAGTCTTTTCCACAAAAATCACAGTTATATGGTTTATCACCTGTGTGGACTCTCATATGTGTCTTCAGATTTTGTTTCTGTTTAAATCTTTTTGCACAAACACCACAGGTAAATGTTTTTTCTCCTGTGTTGACTATCATCTTTGAAAATTCACTTTGTTTCACTCTGTTAAATTTCTCATTAGCCAAACAGCCATAAGGCCTTTTGAATGAATGACATGTCTTCCTTCTCTGAAAAGAACACTTGCTTTTCAGTGATTTCAGAGTTTTCAAGTTTGATTTAGGTATAGGGCAACCACTGTCACCATCTTCGTTTGCAGGTCCAGCATCAGACAAAGGCTCCTGCCAATCATCTCCATCACTAATGTCTGTTTCAGAAGAGTCTGGGGCCTTCTCAACAGCATTTAGTTGGAAATGGAAATTTGGATTAGAGTTCCCAGCGATTTCTGGTCCTCTACAATCCTTTTCATCAATTTCATTGTTGATATTTGTAGCTGAGCTGCTGTTTGTAGCTTCTGCTTCTGCATTGTCTTCAGTCTGACTTTGATGAAGCTGTACAATCTGAGGTTTTTCTTCTCTTTCATCTTCACACTTCATGTAAATAGAAGACAATGTGCACTTAGTGCTAACAGCAAGATGCGCTCCCCCTGTATCGATCCACAGCTCCTCATGCTCCTCCTTTATGTGGAGGTGGTCTAGATTCTGCTGGTCCAGACTGGGGGTCCAGGGTAGCTCTTCTTTAATCACCAACATCTGCTGGACATCTGCGGGGAATACTGAAACATACATGTACATCACTGACTGTAGGCTTCTATATGTTCACCTTGATTTCAGTAGCTGTTAATGTAATCTGAAATTGAAGTTACAGTGGGGATTATTTTGAGACCAAAAATGAAACCCTATCCATCACCAGTCACCCTAACAATTACAGTAACGGTAAGACGTTTAAATCCACTTCTCATGGGTGTGAATGTCATGGTAATTTTGGGCTTTTAATTTTTAATTTCTTTGAGCTGTTCTTTTAAAAGTAAAAAAAAAAACCCCAACAACAACAGAGTTCACAGTTTAATTTTATTTCATTTATTTGAATTAATTTAATTTATAGACGGCATTGCAGAAACACTGTACCAACTGTCATGCATGGTGATTCATGCGTGACAGTTTCATTGTCATCAGGCTGTTTTACTGCCTGTGCTAAATTCCACCAACAGAATAGAATAATGAAGGAAGACTACCTCCAAATTCTTCAACTTCACCTCAAATCAACAGCTAGATGGTTGAAATTGGGACACAGTTAATGTTCTAACAGGATAATGGGCTGAAACACATCAAAACTGGCATCGGGATGAATAAACCAGGCTGACATTAAGGTTCTGGAATGGGCAAAGCCCAGAGATCCATCCACTTGAAATTTTGTGAACTATGCTTACACTCGGATCTGTGCCAGGAAACCAAACAATTTTAAATAAACGCTAACAATTCTGCTGAGAAGAGTGGTCAAAATCCAGCCTGAATTATGTGAGAAGCTTGTTGATGGATAACAAGTCTGGTCAAGGTGCAATTAGCTAAGGGACATTTAACCAAATATTAATGTACATATTTCAACTTGTATGACCCTGTGTGGCTTAGAAAATCCAAAATAAATTCAAAGTTTTGCACATAATTGTTGTTGTTTTTTAATCATTAAAGATGTATGCTGTATGGTAATTCTAACCTGGAAAAAGAAGTATTCAAACAAATTGTTAAATGACCAAATTCACTATCTTTACTTTTAAGATTAGGCTTCAAACTTATCTTATCCCTGAATCCTCCCTTAGTTATGCTGCAGTAAGTGTAGGCTGCTGGGGGATTCCCATGATGCACTGGGTGTTTCTTCTTCAGTCACCTTTCTAACTCATTATGTGTTAATAGACCTCTCTGCACTGAATCATACTTGTTATTAATCTCTGGCTCTCTTCCACAGCATGTCTTTGTCCTGTTTTCCTCCTCTCACCCCAACCGGTTGCGGCGGTTAAAAGGGAGTTTTTCCTTCCCACTGTCACCAAAGTCCTTGTTCATAGGGATTCATATGGTTGTTGGTTTTTTTCTCTGTATGTATTATTGCTTTATATTGTACAATATAAAGCACCTTGAGGCGACTGTTGTTGTGATTTGATGCTGTATAAATAATTTTTGAATTGAAATTTTGGTAAACCACAGATCTTTATCTTGGGGATGTGGTAAAAATAAAGCTTAGATATAATTACTTATGAAGGAGTAAAGGAAGCAAAAACAAAAACCTCAAATGGCTAGAGACAAAATAATGATGGCTTAATAGACTGCCTATTTTCATTGAATATAGGAGGTCTTTCACACCTGTGACACCAAAACCTTTTCTTTCTTTCTTTGCATAAGATCTGATATAAGCGCATGCCATCATGATTCAGTTACAACAATGCTTTCACAATGAAAAGATTGTGGTTCAGCGTGCCATCCAGTATGGAGATGTCAGGGGGAACGTGGGTCAAAATGATTTGGTCAAATTTCTCAGCAAGACGGAGCTCCTTGCTACACTTCGGGTTCCATTTTGAAGTTTCTCAAAGTGAAAAAGCTCAAAGTTCTTCGGGCTTAGCCAGCAGTCTCCTGATATGAATATTATTGAGTACATCTGAGGACAAAGATGGAAATATGGAGAAGGAAACCCAAGAAGCTGGAGCAGCTTTGGGATGCCTGCAGGCCAGCCTTTGATTTCATACCTGATGACTTCGTGTCAAACTGAATAGCAATAGTTCTGCAGTTCTGTAAGCTAAAGGAAGCCGTATAAGACATTCAGTTTCATGTTTATACTGTGGTAAAATAATACACTGATTTTCAGTTTAAAAAGTATTTACTTAACCCATTTAGTCCCAAATGTTTCCCTGCAAAATGAGTGAATGCATTTTACTCCTTAGACTTCCCCTACACACAATATGTTGAATTTTTTAAATGTCATAGGCAGTTAAAACGGCAGTAATTGTTGCCAGTGGGATTGAATGGGTATTTAAGTAAAAACATAAAATGTTTTGACAGTTTGATTGTTTTAATATGCAGCAGAGTGTTTGTTCAGCAATAGGCTGACATGTTTGTGATTATCATATAGAAGCAAATCTCAATTAAATTAATACTTTTTTAGTAGCCTTAAAATAAACTGGTGACCCTCAACAAAAACATGAAATACTCCTGACTACAAATTTTACACAAAATTAAAAGTAATATATTAGCTCCTATAATTGTGATGTACCCATCACAAGACGTTCCTCCAAGAATGTATCAGCCCATCAGGAGATAAATCTGAAGCACAACGTAAACACTGATATTCTATTGGAACTGGAAAATGTTGTAACAGTTGTAAGCTCACCTAATTTCCTCAGCAGATCCTGATACACTGCAAACAGATTTATGAGCATGCAGAAGGACATTTATTGTTTAAAGGGAAATCTGATCATTACTGTTATTAAGTGGCGAGAGGTGTTTTGCATTACATGATCCAGGATGAAATCTTGGAATGTTAAAGTGTACAGACACAAAGTGGTTATCCCATAATCCCATATGTAATGATAAACATAGGGAAGGCATGTTGCTCTGTGATGTTTTCATACCACAAATATCTTTGTTTCATGAACTAAACTTAACTTTAGGGAGAGCACCGTCCATATTTTTCTATCTAAAAGCAAAAATCATGAAAAATTATATAAGAACATTCAAAAGCTGAAGAAGCTCCTTTACGGGTGACGAATAATATTTATTTTTATAATGAAATTCCTAGAAAAAAATAAAAAAAGAGTTGAATGCTTAGAACATTTTTTTTTATTTGGTTGTACTTTTTCTTTGAGCTTTTAGGAAACCAAAAAACTGGAGGTCTGAAAAATGTTTCAGTCAGAGCGACGGTTACAAACGACCATGCCACATTTAAAGTCACCAAAATCAACTTTCGCCTTCATTCTGATGCTCGGTCTCAACAGCAGGTCGCCTTGACCACTGAGATGCTGCCATGTGACTGACTGATTAAAAATTTGTATAAATGAGTGATTAAACAGCTGTACCTAACAAAGTGGCCAATGAGCGTATATCTGCTAATTAATGTAACCAAACAAACCATTTAGATTAATGTCAGACATTTTAAGGAAGGAGTGAAATGCATAAAAACCCAATAAGCCTTAAAACTGATAAGTTTATTTGTATATATGTATTTATTTTTTTCATTTATCTCTTGTTTCATATCATTTGAAAGTTATATAGATTTTTTTTCTTTGCTCAAAGGTAGTTTTTAAAAAGGAATTACTTTAAAAACTACAAGATTTCTTGAATATGTGTGCGGTGTAAAGCGGCCGGGTGCTACACGATGCCCAGATGAGTTCCGCCTTTTAACTCCGAGAACACAAAAAGTCATTGATAGCAAATACTTTTGTTATTTTTACAAATTGAGATTAGCAGATCGTGAGAAGATGTGCGATCGTGATCTCCACCCAGCCCCACAGCGAATCAGCTGTTAGCAGATTTCTTCGCATTCCAGCTGTGTTTATTCTTACCAGCGGTTTGGTTTATATCAGCGTCCTGCAGCTGTTCAACATCTGGAGGTTTAATGTCCGGCTTTTCTTCAAACTGCAGACTCTCAGCTCTGTTATGATCAAGATAATCCACTTCATTCATGGTGTCGACTCCTCTTTAAAATAAACTGCAGGCTTGTGTGACACGAACCAGGCCTGTGCAGAATCGATCACCGCCGATCACAGTGAAACACGCCCTGGTTACATTTGCCTGTCTCACTTTGATCCATGAACGTGTTCAAGTACTCAAAGGGGGATCGTGCTCTTCTGAATTATTTTGGTAGCGAATTATTGATGTCTGCTGTGTTTTGAACAGGCATCTGCACGGACAGCTTCCCTCTTCATTCCACACAGCATCTCCACCGGCTTTTATTCGCGCTGCATTCACGCAGTTTACCCACGTTGTCATCCACTCACCTCGAAAACCATGAAACCTTTAAAACACAAGAGCACACGAAGTAATTCAGGCTATTAAAAAATAAAACGGACCAGGGTTTACATGTGCGTTTTATCACGATGGTTTACTGGCCTCTAACGGCCGATCTCAAGAAGTGCATCACAACATAACGAGACGTACTGACACTTCCGGTGGGTACGTTCAAAATACAAGTTAAAGTATTAACCAGCATTAAGATTTTAACTTTGTAAAAGAAAATAACATACTTAGGGGATTGTCTTTTTTGTGTGTATGAAAAAATTTGCTGATACACAAAATAATGTTACAACGCATCATTCTTATCTTGTAAAATAAAACCAAATGTTATGTTTTCTCTAGAGAGGGAAACAGAGATTGATTAAATATTTGGTTTTATATTTACAATCTGTTTTTATTTCTATAAACAAAAGAAACACAACTAGGACAAAATTTTCTCATGTACAGTATCAACCGTTTCTTCCTCATTTCCTTTTTTCTTCCACCCATTTATGTCTCTCTGCTTCATAGAAGGGAGACTCCTCAAATTCTTCCAGGCCATCTCCTTGGCCATGCCTTTATCTCTGTATAGAGAGTACACTTTTTAAGGGCAGTAGATGTATTTCCCTGCCACTTCAGGGAAGCCCATATGAATGTGTGGGCTATTTGGTCCCTGTTTCAGGTCCATGTGGCAGAATCTGCAGAGGCGGCCTGTTTGTTGGGATTCTGGCCTTTTCCTCTTTTTCTCCACCCTCTTCTTGGTAGCATCCAGTTCCCTCTGTCTGAACAAAAGGGTATTTTAGGGTTATCATTCCCTTAGCAGTTTAACTTTGATGCACCTTCTTTGAACAATAGAAATACTATAGTGGATGGAGGCTCCAACTGTCTCATATTGGGACTCGGGCTAAAAACAGGCAAGGTTACTCTTTGTCTGCCGTTTTTCCTCAGGCTGCTGCTGCTGTTGGTTTTCTACATCAGTGTTACACCTTCCATAATCTTCTCTATTGAGTCTTGTGTCAGAGATGTAGACAGTGAAGGAGGAGGTGGGTTAAAGACAGCTGGCTCCATGGAAGACTACAGGAACATTAGTTGTGTCACTCCCTTCTGTTGAAGAGTGCCACAGTTGCTGAATCTACAGAAGTTGTTTCTGGGCTTGTGTTCAAAGAAGAACTGATGTTTAGAGGTTTACCTAAGTGCTTCGCATAACAGGATATGTACAGTTTCCTTTTTTGCCCTCAGTTTAACTTTGTTGTCCTCATCCATTTCATCATTTTTGCGTCGTCATTAACTTCACTTTCTCCAGTGTCCATCTCAGTCATAGATTGAACTCGTTTTTTGTTTTTTGTCTTGCCGTGTTTGTCGTTCACCATAGCCCCATCCTAGTTAGTCATTTTCTGCTGTTTATCTTGGTAGTATTTCAAGTATTCAGGGGCTTTGCAGTTCTACACCGCAATCATCGAGTCCATCCTCACCTCCTCCATCACCGTGTGGTACGCTGGAGCCACTATCAGGGACAAACAGAGACTGCAGCGTGTTGTGCGCTCTGCTGAGAAGGTGATTGGCTGCAGACTCCCATCTCTGCAGGACCTGTACACCTCCAGGACACTGCGGCGTGCAGCGAGGATCTCAGCTGACCCTTCTCACCCTGGACACAGTCTGTTTGACCTGCTCCCCTCAGGCAGGAGGCTCCGGTCCATTCGCACCAGAACCTCTCGCCATAAGAACAGTTTCTTCCCCTCTGCTGTCGGACACATGAACAATAACCGTATGACTGTTCCCACCACTAACACATGACCCTACGCTGTGTTCACTGTATCATTCCATGTTTGGCACTGATCACCACCTGCACTCATGTATATATCTTTCTACGTAGCACTCTTAATTCTTATTCTCATGTATAGCTCATGCACATATCTTTCTACGTAGCACTTTTAATTCTTATCCCTACTTTTATTTTTCCATGTCTATTTAAGTGCTATTTATGACACTATGTTTGCACTGAAGCACCGCAGCAATTTCCTAATATTGTAAACCTGCTCAACATTTGGCAATAAACCCCTTTCTGATTCTGATTCTGATTCTGATTGACAAAAAAAGACCCGGGAACAGTAGTTCAGTGGTTGTGTCTTGTTCCCTTTTTTTCAGTGTATTACTCCCGAACCCTGATTTGATCCATATTTTCTGCACTCTGTACCCAAACTTTCACACCTAGTTTTTTTAAAAAGTAAACGTGGCCACTTTTAAATAGCTCATGACTGAATGTTTGGACTTAGAATAAATCAGGAAGATGTTAGAGTCAAAACGTAATTATAAAAATGTGAGTTTGAATTATTAATAATTAATGTGAGTGTAACAGTGGGTGCAGAGAACTGTGCTATAAAAATTTGTTTGAGAACGGTAAAATCATCTAGAATTAATTTGCTTTTTGCATTTTCATTAGGAAATTTTTTAAATTATGAAGATTAAATTAAATTCAAACTTTTGTAAAAAACAAAACAAAAAAACAAAACATACAAATCTAACACACTCCAAATACTCAATCTGTGGAAGTTAAATTAATTAACGTGCAAATTTCCAATCCTTTATCACAGGTTACTCTGACTGTTTGTATTGTCACACTACTTTGAAAGTCCACACCGGAAGTTTTGTACGTTCACACTGTAGTTTCTGTGTCTGACCACTGGAGGGCAGTGGAAACTGGTGGATCTCTTTATTTTAAACTGTGTTTAAGATTACTCGGCTCTACCCTCGAAACAGCTGTGATTTTAAAGTACTTTCATGTTAAATAACGGCAGGTCTGTCATAAGTTTGCTCAAAATGGGAGCTTTAACCAAATGTCATACCAGAAGTGTCTGTCCCTGCCGGGACACCGTCCTTCCTGGTGTGGGTGTGGACACAGATGACTACACAAATAATGGAGGAGAATCTTCACAAGTCTGTCTCTTGAATTTAGCTTTACATTTAAGTAGTTTGCCCTCCTTTTTTTGCTTTTTGGTTGAGACTTTTAGCTGGCATGCTGTGCCAGGATGGGAAATCTTTTTGGAAAAAAGAAACAAACCCGAGTGACAGAACAAGACAAAGCGATTTTGGTAAGTGTCACACAGCTAGCTGAAGTGTTAGCCTGGAATTCTGTGCTGTAAAACAGAGCGAGCTCTTGTGTGCTAATTTAACAACTTCGGTTATCGAGTAGCCCCCAGCAATATTTTATAAAGCAAAACATCTAAATGTTATTATTATTCAGGGTCTACTCTTCTGTCTTAATGTACTTAACCGCGTAATCCTCTTCGATTCGTTCTTTAAAGTGTCATTTAAGCAAACACTGTAAGTCATTCAAATTCTAACACTGTAGTGTACTTATTTTTCTATGCCGGTATTACCGGAGGACCTTAACGTAAGCGCAGCCAGTAATAATCAGATTATAGCTGCTGTAGTTTGTGCAGACTGCTACTATTTCTAAACCTGGATCAACAAGAAGTTGGTATGGCTGAATTAGTTTGAAGTGTATCTGAGTGCAGTGCAGGTGTTTGGTTTGTTCATGTCTCTATTTCCTCATTTCAGCAACTCAAACAGCAAAGAGATAAGCTCAGGCAGTATCAAAAGAAGATCAATGTGCAGCTGGAGAAGGAGAGGCTTCTGGCCAAACAGCTGCTGAAGGATGGCAAAAAAGAGTGAGTACAGTATAATCAATGAAACCATAGTAATGATTGAAAGGAGAGTAAAGGCATATATGTTCTCAGCACGAAATATATAAATACTGCTCAATAGGGAGCGTAATACTCAGGACAGAAAGGGCAGCTTCCCTGCAACTGTTCTTGCAGCTGACTTCCCAGAGTTCATTAATATAAAATTAAAATTAAGAAAAATAAAGTTTTGAAATCTGCAGTTCTGAAATGTTGTTCTAATTGATGCCTCTAAAGCTTATTTCAGGCAGAATCCTTAAAAAATAATAAATAGCGAAAAACACAAATCAAGCTGACGTCTTCAGTTGTTTTGCTTGTTTGAGCAGCTGTGAAGAATCCAAAATATTTCCTTTCACTGTCACCAAATTCAGTTTAACAGAGGGCTGAACTGGATGAAAATCACCGTCTCTCCAAACTTCTTTATCAACCTTCCTTTTGTTTTCTCTGGGTTATCTACTGCAGCTGACTGTGAGCACATGTACAGTGTTGGTGCATGTGCTCAGGGTGCTTGGACAGAGAATCAGAAACTAAACGTAAATCCAAAGCCAGTTAATAGTGGCAAGAAAGCGGATGGGAGATGGGAAAGAAGAGAGGTTTCTTTTACTGTTGCAAAAAGAATTTGGGAAGACGAGACATTTTGTGCAGCGCTTTTTTTTTTTTCTTTCTTTTTTTTGATTGTCAATCATCTCTTACATTTCTCCCTCCTTACTACAAGCTTTAACGTGTTTATTTGAACAGGAAAGCTCTTCTCTTACTGAAGAAAAAACGCTATCAAGATCAACTGTTGGACAAGACAGAGAACCAGATAAGCAACCTGGAGCGCATGGTGAGCGATCGGCGAACTGCACTGACACTCAGCAGCGTGTAGGTGGCGCTCACAGCTCCTCCCTGTGCTCCTCGTTTCAGGTTCAAGACCTGGAATTCGCCCAGATCGAAAGGAAAGTCATCGATGGATTGAAAGTTGGAAATGAATGCCTGAAGAAAATGCATGAGGTAGGTGATGACATGTGGCCTGCAGATGCCTTTAAAATTCATCACCTGTTATTCATGAGCTGTTATCAACTCTTTTTCGCTGCAGGTGATGTCTATTGAAGAAGTAGAACGGATTATGGATGAAACTCAAGATGCCATTGAGTACCAAAGGGTAGGTCCTTTCAGCTGGTAATCAGGTTCATTTATTTTTTTAGCCTCTTTGACTTCATTCTGCAAGTAGATGTGGAGAGAGTGAAAATTTAAAAGGATTTCTCAAATCTCTGTAGATTAAATTTCACAGATGTAAAATTGGCTTCGTATCCACAGTCATTTCACTTTTTAAAATCTTGTCGTCTCTCTGCAGCAAATTGACGACATGCTGGCCGGCTCCTTATCTCAGGAGGATGAAGATGCTGTGCTGGCTGAACTGGAGGCAATAACTCAGGTTAGTTTAATCAGCTTTAAAAAAAAAAGAAAAAAGATTAGATCGCAC